CCTACTTCAATAAACCCTTCCTCCCCTCGCAAGTCCGCATACTTTTGCAGCATCCTTGCATGGAAGAAGGCCAACCCGGGCGCGCCACGACGAGACGAAATAAGTTCAGGGTTTCCATGGGACGGAAGATAACTCCCGAGGCCAGCATGTCTTGCTCGTTTTGAATCCTTCTTTTGTTCCGCGGAGCTTGCGCTGGCTTGGCGGATCGCGCATTCCGTGGAACGGGTTCGCGCGGTATGCGAGATAAGCTTCTTTCGTGAATCGTGCTCTCAGAGTTTGGCTAGCATACTTACATTACTACTTACAGCCATCTGCCGCCCGTTGGATCGCGTGGGACTGATCGCGTGGAACAAGCGGCCTAATTCTCCGTTGCTGTCATCCCAGTTTCTTTCCATTTCGCAAGCTTTTGACTCGCATCGCCCACGAGAGCGCGCCCGTTCAACCCAGCCGGGCGGGATTACTGTAAACGCGGGGGATGCTCCTCACGTAGCCAGACACGGAAAGGCGCGGCGGTCGGAAAGAAACATTGATTGATAATTGTCCAAACTTGAGATTGATTTTGTTTGTCTATCGACCCCTAACCACGGGGTTTTACTGTATCCAGGGGTATCTCTTCCTCTCTCTGTCTATCACTCTTTAATCCACATGAATCCATTACAACAACACAAAACTAGGCCGCGCTCGCCGAACTAAATCCAAAACCGCATGTATCATTTTTGTCCGGTGGATGGCGAAGATGCCGGCCTAGACATCCTCGACGTCCTTCTTGGTCACGATGCCGAGCTGCTTGTTCATGATCTCGTCCGGGTCGCCGGCGCCGGCGTCCAGGACCTCGAGGTTGCCCTGGGCGTCCTTGGTGCCGGTGCGGTAGCCCGAGTGGCTGCCGAAGACGTACCAGACGTAGCCGGCGAGCAGGGCGGTGGTGGCGAGGAAGGCGAAGATGGTCCAGTTGCCCATGCTGTACATGGGGGAGTCGGTGCTGGGGAAGAGGAAGGGGGCGGAGATGCCGCCCGTGTTGGCGATGGCGATCATGCCTCCCGTCGCGAGGGCGGTGGCGGTGGAGCCTTGGACGGTTGCGGTGCGGTGCTGATTTTCATGTTAGCTTCTGACAATCTTGATTATTGAAATGTTTCGTGGGCTAAACTTACAGCAACGAAGGGGAGAACGGCGGCGTTGGTGCAGGCGATGATGCACACGGCAAAGTAGCGCACACCCCAGTGCTTCACGATGGCGAGGAGCAGGTATCCGATAGACACGAAGATGAGGGCGCCGATGACATGGCGGGAGCGCTCCTTGGTCTTGTCGCTGTGCAGGCAGTTGCCGATGATGATGAACATGGCGAAAACGTTGGGCGGGACCGTGAGCAGCTGGGCGTTGTACCCCTTGAAGCCGAGCGAGGAGACGATCGTGGGCGCGAAGTAGCCGAAGGCGTTGAGGGAGTTGGTCATGAGGAAGTACATGACGGCGAAGAGCCAGAAGAAGGGGTCGGCGAGGGTGGACTTTGCGACCTTGCTGTCCCAGTGCTTATCGCTCATGGAGGGCGCGTAGGGGCCGAGGCGCTTGACGGCGAAGGCGCGCTCCTCGGGGGTGAGCCAGGCGGCGGTCTGCGGGTAGTCGGGCAGCATGAACCAGACCATGACGCCGACGATGACGGCGGGAATGCCCTCGAGGATGAAGAGCCACTGCCAGCCGGTGAGGCCGCCCTTCTTGTTGAGGAAGGAGATGCCTGTGGCGAGGAGACCGCCGAAGGCGCCGGCGACGGCGACGGAGGAGGCGAAGATGGCCATGCGGGTCGCGCGCTCTTCGGGCTTGTACCAGAAGCAGAGGTACATCATGATACCCGGGAAGAAGCCGGCCTCGGCGAGGCCGAGCATGATGCGGACGGCGAGGAGGCCGCCGTAGGTCGTGCAGGCGGCGGTGCAGATGGTGACGATACCCCAGGAGACCATGATGCGAGAGATCCACTTGGAGGGGGAGAAGTACTTGAGCATGATGTTGGAGGGGAACTCCATGAGGACGTAGGGGACGAAGAAGAGCGCGACGGCGACGTTGTAGCGGGAGCCGGTGAGGTTGAGCATCGTGACGATGTTGTCTTCGGGGGTGTCGTTGTTGAGTGTGCGGGCGTTACCGAGGTTGACGCGGTCGAGGTAGTCTAGATGGTGTTAGCTGATTGGCCTCGGTCTGGGGAGACTTTCTGAGAGGTTGATGAACATACTCAAGAGGTAAGTGATGCAAATCCAGGGGAGGATGCGGAGATCCTGCTTCCTGACGATGCGCTTCTCCATCTCCTTGTCGGCGAGGTCGACAGTCTCCAGGCCGGGCACGTCAAGGGACGGCGCCGGGGAGAACATTGCTTTCCAGTCAACCATCTTGGCCGATGATGTGGAAAGTTGCTGCTTGTCGGTAGTTCGGTGAGGTCCCGGTGAGGGTGATCGATCTAGGTAGAGGATTGGGCCCCGAGAGTTGATTCAGGGAGTTGATCTATAGTCGACGACCAGTGGACCTTGTCGAACCCGTTTGATGACGGCTAATTGTCGAAGTTGTTGATGACTTGCAGTTCATCCAGAAACCGTCAACCCGTGGGCAGAGGGAGTCGAGAGGTTGTTATAAGTCGACAACCCCTGACAGTTCCGCGTGGATGGTACGATCCATTCCGACATCCGCCCGCGAGGTTCTCCATAATAGTGCGTATCCCACCCCGCGAGTTATCTGTTTTAGAAACTGCATTTGTACAACCAAAATGTCTTCTCTTCCCTGTGGTGGTGCTCTTTTCCTTATCTCTGTCTCTGCAAGTCATTGACAGAGTTCGGGGGTTCTCTCCGCCGCCTAGAGAATGATGAAGCGCTTGGGCGAAGTCAATTGGTAAATGCCGGCGGGGGAGATAACGCATTCGCCAATCAGATGCCGCACACTACTCTAGATAAGGCCAAGTCTGGGCAAAAAAAAGTTGTCAGTTCCCGGGGACGACCCCGGACTCGGGAGGGAGAACCATTTCCCAGGCCTTAGATTGAGCGCTTGCCCTGACATGTCGATGGCTCTCTTTCTCGGCCTGCGTCCGGTCCTCGGGCAGGCTAACTGAAAATTTGCAAACAAAGAAGGCGAATGGCGGCAACACACATGCCAGAAATGTGAGAACATGAGAACAGATGCATCTAGAAGCCCTGTCAGATATGCCGCATTTCCGTGGCGGTCAGGCCGAATTAGACGCATGTCAGAGGGCCAGTTCCTACTTCTGCGGCTGTCAGCCTGTCGCTTGCCAAGTCTGCAGATGCAAAGACATGAGGATATTATTCAAGACTTCTCCGTGGGTCTCCGGGACAGTGGACTTAGATCGAAAGGGGGGCCGTTCGTGCATGATGCAGCGCAGCAAGCGGAGTGCAGCATCTCATTGCTTCGGGAGACCACGCTCTTCCTTATCGCCGGATCCATAGAGAAGCTTAGGGTTGTCCCTTGTTAAAGGACTCCTTTCTTCAGATATTCGTTCCAGCTGCTCTGCCTCTTTCTCGAGCTCTCGATATTGCACCCGCGGAGTGAGGCCGCATACAAGAAATCCTGTTCGTCTCATCTCGTTGACGTCGGGGTTGCTGACTCGCGCACCAAGGAACCGGCGGTTTGGCGCTCGGTGATGGCTGCTGATAACGGCCTGCTGGCGTGGCGTGGGAGAAGCGGCGTTCTCTCGACGCCTCTTTGGTGGCAAGTGCAAGCGGTTCCTTGAATCGTCCTAGGTATTACTCGCCTGACGACTATTACACGAAGCGATTTGATCAAGATGGGCCCATCTACGCGTACTATGTGCCAACCCCCGTTCCCCGCCACCGAGCCCCATTCACACGTGAGAGCCACGGCTCACCTAACCCATGATGACATGAGTTCCTTGGTGAGCATGGCATTCAGGTAAGCAAGCCTCTATGAGAATGATCGAAAAAAGGCGACGCATGCTCTGGATTATCGCTCGCAAAAGCGAAAAAGCCCTGGTCTTGCGTCTGCCGAGATGTCTAGGCATCACCGAAAGCGCGGGATGTGGCGCCATGGCGTCTCCGTATTTCGGCATGCTGCTGTCTGATCTGGGACTCCGAGGGATATGATGACGATAGAGCTTTACTTTACACTATTGAAGATGAGTTGTAAGACGAATGCGATATCAGAGACCCGAAGAGAGAGCCCCAGGGCAATGGCCCGATGGGCGGCGCGCGAGACACAGACACATGCGCGCGACGCCCGCCGGCGGCCTTATTCTAAGTGGCTGCAGCCCTAGGCCCGCTGCCCGGCGGGCATGAGTGGGTCCGCCCTGAGCCGATCGGCAAAGATGCAGCGGAGGATGGAGATCCAGCTCTTTGCAGGTCTCTCTTTACGGACCAGGCATCCGTAAGCATCAATCCAGCCGTTGACAACTCGTGTTGAGTTAATTATCAAGGGAGTTTCCGGAAGTTCGGAAGCCAACTACTGTAATTGTCCTGCACCTTTCAACTTTGATGATCACCGGCGACGTTTGAGATTCATCACTCGTGGCCGAGGCCGCCAAACACAGCCGCAAAGAACACCTCATATCTTACCGACATTGGCCTTCAGCTATTATTGACAAAGTTGTCAGCATCTTTTCTTTCCATCTCTTTGGCTTAACAAGTTCTCTCCTTTCATCTCTTGTCTTCTTTTCTTTTTTGAACTGTTCGGGATCCTCAACAGTTGTTATTTTGCAGCACCTATTATTTTCTTTATAATTAGCTTATCTGTCAACTTCCATTTCGCTCCTGCCTTAAATCTCTAAGTCTTATTCTGATTTTGTTGTTTTCTACGACACTTGCAAATGTTGAATTTGTGGGCTCCTTGCACACTGTGCAGCGATAGCTACATCAGTGACGCTCATGTTCTTGGAAGTTATCTCCAGTGATGCAAATTCGTTCCATACCAATCCTAACATGCTCTTCATCATTCTGTTGTTGTCCGATTGATACAGGTGGCCCCTCCTCACTAATCACTCTATTTCCTTCCCAGTAAGACTATCAGAGGCTGTCAATGTCAACAGCCAAGTTCTCTCGTCTCCTGAAAGAAACCTTGAGGCCATCTCCAGAGGAGAGACTGATTCCGAACTCCCTGATCTTGTGTTCGTACGCACTGTCAATCTCCCAGTCGTACTTGTACAGCAAGTGGCATAGAAGAATCTTAACTTCGTTCGAGGCAAAGAACCTTCCAGGGCAAGCATGCTTCCCATGACCGAAGCCCAGATGTATCGACGAGGTACTCACGAGGTGAGCTTTGCTCTCGAGCTTTGGGTCTTCACGCATGCGCAAGTACCGATACCCGTCGAAAACCTCCGGGTTCTCATAGACTTCGGGATCCACCATGGAACCGAGGTCTGCCATGCAGCGGTCACCCGTTTCAAGAACCAGGCCGCTGGGAAGAGTGACGCGCCTTATGGCTGTCCGGTTCATTGTCGCTTTGGGTCGTTAGTATTGGGGAGCTCATTACATGCTGAGAGCTAACTCACCCGAGGTCGTAGGCTTCAGCCTTTGCGCTTCCTTGAGAACGCTGTCCAGTAGCTTCATCTGGAAAAGAGCCGTCTTGGTCCAGCCCTCCTTCACCAGCACACTTTCAATCTCTTCGCGTAGATCTTGTACCAGCTGCGGGCGTTGAATGAGCCGGCACATGGTCTCCGTCGCCAGATCTGTCGTGGTGTGCATTGCGACGACAGAGAACCCGAGCTGGGCTCCAACAGGGTCGTAAGAGCTCCCCTTACTTTCTTCCTCGACCCATCGCATTACATCGTTATACACTGGCGCAGACTTCCCCTTCGTCTCGGCGATTCGTCGTTCATCTCGTCGCTTTTGCAGGATTGGCGTCATTAGTTTTCGAGCATCAGCGACTTGCTTCCTCAGCAGCTGACATTCGGGAATGAAGTAGCATGCGGCATGTCTGAGAAAATGAGGGTATTGGCGCAGTAACTCTCCACAGAGAAAAATGTTGATGCTGTAGGACTTGGAGATGTCGAGCCATTTTTGATTCCGGCAAAGCTCTTCTCCGAGGAAAACACGCGAGGATAAGCGGGCGACGAGTTCCAGTGTGGCATCCTTGAGCAGGATCTCCTGCCATTCTTTCCACATTTAGCTCAAGGATATGGCCTCGGTTTCAAGAGCAGACTTACCGTTTGATTTTCCGAGGACGAGATTTGTCGCGAAATTCGCCTCTGCCGCCAATGGTGAAGTAATCTGGTCTTGTGCAATGTTTTAGACCAGGATTGCTGAACACGGGAGACACGGCTTACTTAGGAGTTTGGTGAGTCTCTTGTTGATGGTTCTATGAAGAAGCTCGTCCGGACGGCCGTCGAACGCGAAGCCTTCGAAGCCGGGCAACGAAGGATGAAAGTTGTCAATGAAAGCCGTCATGAAGCTCAGGCCCGGCTCATTCCGGAAATCATCAATGTACTTGGAGGGAAGCACGACAAGCTCGCCGAGGTCAGTGAACATCCTATACGGCTTCCCCTGAAAGAGCTTTCGCCCGCTCTTCATGAGCTTCCCGGCGTTGGAGGTGAAATGCTTCTTCGTCTTTTGGCCAAAAAGGTCCAATACGGGAGGGGGGTTGATGTAGGGGATGTCATCGTGCCGACGCGGTATAAGTTTGAAGAGGAGAAGAAGCGGGAGAAGTGTAGCAACAACACATGAACCCAGCAGCAATGGTTCTGCGACGGAATATTTGGTGGATGGAAGCAGCATTGTCTGATCTAGTTTCGAAGCGTGAACGTTTGGCAAAGCAAAAACCTTGATTGGCAGACAACATTTCACATGTATTTAAGAAAAGCATCGGCATTCTCGACGGATTCCGAGGTATCAGGAAACATCTAGATGTGAATGGGTCTGGCTGGTGCGGGTCTCCGCTTTCGTGCTCCATATTCTGAAAAGGGAAATTTTCCCAACCCGCACTAAGAAAATGGGCAAGGGTTGATGTGGGATGAGGGATGACACGAGATCTCCAGAAGCCAGCGTCTATGAATCACTTCCAAGCTTTTCACAGGTCAAGATCCTCCAAGATACTCATACGGCAACAATGCCAGTTTCATACATATTGGCAAGTTCCCGGAGAACCCAGCCGATCCGCGGTGCAACTGTGACGTCTTCAGTCAGGTATCTGAAGCTGATCCTGTAGCATTGCATTCTTACCTCCCCAAACCCACGTGTCGTCGTAAATACTAGCCCACATACGAGCCAGCTCTGCTGCTAGCGATGATTGCTCAGACCTATGGCTCTCAACTTCGTTCAAGAGCTGCCTGACGCTGTCCAAGACCTGCTTCTCCTCGGGTGTGACAGATTCGTTCGTCCGATATGAGCATTCAACAGCGTATAACCATTTTGTAACAAGTAGACCTGATCTCGTTCAGCGCAATTCAGGTTGAAGCGAAATTCCGACAATACCGGCATCCCAGCTTGCTAAGGCGTGTTCCACACTCCATTTGAACGCAGCCGTCTTTCGCATGAGCAGAATACCCGCTCGTATTGGTATGGCGAATCCCTCAAGAGCACAGCTGACTGCCATGGTCATGAAGGGGTCTCGATCTTGTACAGCTTCGAAATAGCGTCTCAAGATTGAAAGCATGACCTGGCTACTCTCCTTGAATAGTAGAGAGCGATCTAGAGAGTGGAATCTGATGAATGCCCTCCCGTATGAGACGCGTAATATGGCAAATGCATTGAAGAGCAGAGGGCTTTCGGCTTCATTCCAAGTACCTTCAGTACCAGTGTGCGCGTCTGCAACTCCTGCAAGCAAATCGCGACATCTAGAGAGAGCCGCGGCAATTTGACTTGCGTCATGTCTTTCCTTTGAGTTACGAATCGCGCTGTGGCATACTTGCTGCCCTTGAGTAAGGTACCAGATAGCGATGGCAACGCTGTGCATAACCACCGAGGCAGCGAACGGCGACCACTCCCAACAGATATCTGACTTCTTTTCAAAAGGCGTCTGACCGAATATGGCGGAAGTTGCCTCGCGAAGACCTAGATGGGATGACAGCGGTTTATTTGCTGTTAGAGTTCCCCAGTCAGATGCCGTCTTTGCTTCCCACAGGGCATCATCGGCAGGTATTCCAATGTCGGCATCCTCGAGGATAGAAAAGCCCGGGACCATCCCGTACGTAATCACAAGTAAGTTCCCAAGAATCATGCTGCTGCACATCAAGCTTCATAATGTCAACTCATCGGCACAGGGCTTGGAACATGGAAAAAATCCCTACCGCTTTGTTGACTCATGTTCAACCCAGGTTCGCCAGTCCGATAGTTCTGTGGCTGTGGAAACAGGCCTCATTCGTGACATTCTTGACCGGAATTCCTATTACGTTGAGCGCAAAAACGAGGGATATTTCGGAAGACGCGAGAAGCACTTACGGCGGACAGGAACCCGCAACCAACCAGGGCCTGTCGTATAAGCTGCGGCTCTCCGCTAAAAGAAGCAAAGAATACGAGTAACAAGCGGGCTTGAGCGAGCGGAAGTGGCGCGGATGCCGACGTTGGCATATCTCGCGGCTTTGCCCAGTCTTGTAGCAATGCCGAGCAGTTGCGTAGGGTATCAAACTCCACGATGGACAGAATTGACTCAGCTGTCAGGTAAAGCGACGCAGCGAGCTTCCTGTCAAGCCTGTGCAGTGCACCTATTGCACAAATACTCAGTGTCAGGGGGCTTGGAGCCGTCTTGAGGCTGAGCGTTGGGAGGTGTAGAAAAGGAAAGTGAACGTGGAATGATTCGACATAGGAGTTCAGACACTTTTGCAAGCAGGCTGTGTCAGGCATTTGGAAGTCCCCAAGTCGCTCGGGTGTAAGATGTGATCTCAGATCATTGACGCAGTGTGCCCTCATTTCCTCAGTGAAGATCATGCTTGGTTTCGCCGTGGCTCTTGTCCTTGATATCCGCGGCAAGCAATGTTCCTTTTTCGGCGTTTGTGGGGGCACGGGAGTCTCTCCCGAAGCAAGCGAAGGCTCGAGGTACGCATCTTCCACGTTCGTCCCTATCGCGGAGTGATCGAAAATTGGGAGAGCAAAGGAATCAAAAACATCGCCGAGGAAAGGGTCGAAGAAACTAGGTGATAAATCATTGTAAGTATCAAAATTGACGTCGTTCATGTCGAAGGAGCCGAAGTCAATCGGTGTTACTGTGGCATGCGTGATGGTCGCCTCAATCCCCGATGTTAACGCTGAGTTGTCTGGGACGTTGGTGATCACGACATCGGTCCGTGTTTCTTCATTGGTGGCGGCAGCCGAATCGCCAATCAACCCATGTTCGTCTCTTCCCTCGGAGGCTGAACTTTGCGTGAGGTCACGGCTGACCGGCTGCCATTGGTCCGCATGGAGAGTTTTCTCATGGCGTGTCACAAGGTCACTAGTATAATTGAGTATATCTGGGATAGGCACGTCCATGAGTTCAATTGTAATACCTGCGAGCATACCGACGGCCACAAAACCGGCATATGTGGGGCTTTTCGTGAGTGTCTGCGCCCACAGTCAGTGCTGAAGCAAAAGTGCATCATCAAACTGTCAGGCGAATGAATGACTGACGGCTGCGCTCATGGCGATTTCGATGTTCTCGCCTTTTGAAAGGCTTGAAACAAACGCGGCACTTGTGTACCACGGTGCCTTCTTTAGCGAATGAGATGACCGACGTTCCAGGCGCTGTCTTGGATGTCATCGCTTCAGATGACAGTCGGTGGCTAGGTGCTGAGTAAGACGAACAGGCAAGAGGAGGATTTCAATGGAAGGCAAAAGAGGATAAGGAAGAGCATCCAATTCCTGTAGTGAGCACCATGTGCAGGTAAACCCGGTTCAACCCCCACAAACAGGATTTAAATTCCCGTGACGGCCCGCGACGGAGATTGACAAGTATCCGAGGGCGACGGCATCGGACTTTTATTTATGGGACCATCGCAGCGATCATGCGGGGTTCCAGGGTAGCTGCAGTCCACTAATTGATGCAGTACGACTGAAAACTAATTTTGGTCCGGCAACTAACATAGCTCCCGATGGGATACTTGCAGATGTTTTGTTAGCGAGATCATGTGCAACTTTCATGAGAATTGCACCCGCTCCAATGTTGAGCAACAACCTCCTAGACAATCTTGCAGCGTCTCTTGTCTTCTTTGTAAGGGGCAGGTTGGACGATCTGTATGCAAATGTGAGACAACCAAATACACCAGAACACATTATGAACAAACTTACAGCTTTGATGATCTTCTGTTTCGAGCCTTCGCTTCCCCATTTCACCGATACGACCGTTCCCGGTGAAGAATGCTCTTTGAGTATAATGCCGAGAGAAATCATCTCCTTGAACCAGTAGCTGTAGCACCGAGAAACAGCATATCCGACGGTCTGGCTTCCAACCGACACGGAGCTACCAAGAACATTACCGAGCAAGTTGCGAGGCATTTCCATATACTCATACGACTCGGAACGGAATAAAGATGCGAAGACGTCCGCAACGTCGTCCTTGTCCCAGACAAGTGTCACCAACTTCCGCGGAGGGTCGGCTTTCAGCTTGGCCAGCGCGTCACGCCCGATAAAGTCGTGATCGAGATTCACAAGCCAACCCCAATTCAGATCGAATGGGGTATTGTGATACAGCACGGGATCGGTCCCATAGCTACCGCTGGCCTTGGATACGTGTAAGTCAAAGTCGAAGCCAATCGACTTGGCATATCGTCGAAACTCGACAAGTTCCTTGTTGCTCGAGGGCGCGTGGACAGCGGGGATGAAGTCGGCGGCCGGCGTCGCAAACGCTGCTTCAACCTGCGATGGCAGACAGTGTCAGAAAGACATTCGAGAGTTTCATATGAGAAATCAAAGTGATTTCTTACATGGTTCACCATCTTGGTACGAGCACCGAGTTGGCGGAGGTTGTGTGGCTTGCCAGCGTCTACGATGGAGCTGTAAATCTTCCGGGCGTCTTTCGCAGGGCCCCAAAGCTCGAACCCGAGTTCGCCCGAGACGCCTTGTCGCAAGCATAGGAACTTCGTGCCGTTTATGGAAAGCTCCTTGTAGTGCATGAACTCAATGTCCTGAACCCCTTCGGCCGTGACCTCGTTGAGAAGTTTTGCGCTCCGAGGACCTTGAACTTGCAGGAGGAACCAATCATTGGTGACCAGCTCAAGCGTAGCATCGAACTTCGTCCTTCCGAATTGGAACTGGTACGCCAGCCAAACAGTGCCAGGCCCGCTGGTGAAGATGAAGTCATCCTTCCCGAGCATGAGGACAAGGCCTTCACCGACCACGCAGCCGTTGTCTTGGCAGAAGATAGCATGCTTCGCCTGACCTGGCTTGAAGTTGGGCCATCGGTTGGTAGAGATGAATTCGAAGAAGGCCTGGGCCTCTGGGCCTTTGACGCGGGCTTTCAGCAGCGGCGACCAATCTCCGATGTAGCAGTCCGTTTTCCAGGAGACGCTCTCGTCGATCCAGCCTGAGTATTCATAGGCTTCGAAGGTAGGGCCAAAGCGGGACCAGGTGTTGACGGTAGGGTCGATGGGCACGGCTGGTGCTAGTGGAACGTGATGCTTCGCATGCCCATCGTCAAACCAACGTTGAACTGAGCTCTGGTTTGGGACTTGAGAGGTTGAAGGAGACATGTTGAAAGATGGGCAAAACGTTAACTACTTGCTGGTCGAACTTGAAAAGGTAGTAGGAGGGACATACATCGATCATATGTATCTATAATCCTTTCCTGGACTCTCACCTAAACCCGTTTCCATATGACATCACGACTGCATTGATTCCTTCATCAAGATGGAGTCTCGGGAATCGGTTTGTCCAGCGGCATCATGATGCGGGCTGGTCAGAATGTCCTAATGAGGCAATGTGGGATGGTGGGACAGGTGCCGTGTGGGGTATGTGGGATGCCTTGGCGGTAGTACGAAGACGCCCACTTTGCTGCAGCTCAGGTTTCGGCAATCAGGTAACAACATGATTCCATCATTTTCATTGACGCTACTTGACATAATTTGGCATCCTAGAAGTATCGTTATGGTTGGTAGATGTAGCAGTCACGCTGACAGCAGTTATGAAGTGGCTTAGATGATATAAGGAGCGTGATGCCTAGCACGTCTCCGCCTGGGTAAATCTAGCAACTCAATTCAGTTCTAAACACTTTTGAAATTGCCATCTTCATGTCTCATCCGTTCGCCATCATCGTCGGTGCAGGCCCCTGCGGTCTCTTACTGGCCCTCCTCCTCGCCAAAGCCGGTCTGGAGGTACAGCTCGTCGACGCCGGCAACGAACTCGACAACCAACCTAGAGCAACTCACTACGGCCCAGAGGCAGTAGAACAGCTCGACAGAGCTGAAGTTCTTTCGGACATTCTTGCGCAGGGGTTCATCCCTCACGGCGTTGCCTGGAGAAAGCCCAGCGGGGAGGTCATCGCCGAGCTTCCAACAACCACCTTGACAACTTCTGTGAAGCATCCCTTGATCTGCTTACCGCTGAATAAACTAGGCAAAATATTGCATGACCATCTACTGAAGCAGCCCCAAGCCAGTATTCTTTGGGGTCACCGGGTGACGCATGTAAGGCAGGACGAGGAGCAAGCCATTGTGGAGGTGGACGCCCAGGGCACTTCGAAAACGCTGGCGGCGATTTATGTCATTGGCTGCGATGGCGCCAACAGCCAAGTCCGGAAATCGTTATTTGGCGATATGGAGTTCCCGGGAGGGACTTGGGATGAGCAAATTGTTGCAACGAATGTCAGTGAAAGAGCATGCGCTGTCGCTTTGTCTATGCGCTAATCACTCGACGTTCCCCAGACTTACTATCCGTTTGACAAACACAGCTTCACAGACAGCAACTTTGTAATCAGCCGAGAGCACTGGTATGGCCGATAGAACCCTTTTACAACTGCCTGAGTTTGGTTGATCATGATTGTAGGTACATGGCAGCGAGGATCTCCAACGATGGCCTGTGGCGAGTCACGTACGGAGAGGTACCAGGACTCACCAAGGCCGAATATCTCGAAAGGCAAGCCTGGAAGTTCGAGGTGATGCTACCAGGAAATCCGAAGGCGGATGAGTGGAGATGTGTCAACTTCAGTCCTTACAAAATACACCAGCGCCTGGCACCATCGCTCCGACAAGGGAAGGTACTCCTCGCGGGTGATGCAGCGCACCGTAAGTCTGATCCTAAGTACTTCTCCAAGACTTGCATGCTAAAGAATGAAATTAGTGTGCAATCCATTCGGTGGCTTAGGATTGACAGGAGGGATTCTCGATGTCGGAGGCTTGTATGACTGCTTGAACGGGATCGCCACGGGAAGGGCAGATGAATCCATCTTAGATCGATACAGCGATGTTCGCAGGAAGCTGTATCGTGACTTCACCGATCCTATCTCGACAGAAAACATGCGGAAGCTCTGCAAGAGGGACCCCGACAAAGTGTTGGAAGAGGACACGTTTTTGCAGATGATCAACGAAAGCAAACATGACCCTGAGGTAGCTGCGCAATTATCAGAGGGCTCGAAAGGCTTGGGCCATGATTTTACGCAATACTACAAGTAGAGATTAGAATCTTGTTAGTCGAGTTGAGGTGCTACCATCCTCCACATGACTGTTTCTTGATCTGAGTCTGAGATGGAGGAATGAGAACGACACTGGAAACCCTCATCGAAGATTTAGTTTTGATAGCTATCCGACGAAACCAATACTCCGGGAAGAGAACCGACCGAGGACTGCAAGTATCGTCGTTTTCAATCAGAAAATCAAACAAGCCCCAGCCTGGAATAAGAATATCCGCAGGCTGTAAGTTTTGGGTTATCACCTTCACAGTGTTTCCTCAGACTTGCAGAGACCATTGCCTAGATACTAGAAAGTTGTCCCGAACTGACAACGAAGCGTATTATGCATCCATAACATACTTAGGCAAGACTGAAGCGAGAATCTTGTGTGAAAGTACATGCTTTTACCCGCAAGACCCCGTCAACAATATAAAAGAACGAGAATCCTACAGAGCTTTGGATTCGACAAAACAATGAGGTTCTCATTTCGAGTCACTCAATTGAACTTGGAGTCGTGCTTTATCACCAGTTGAGTCACGTCAGTCAACCGTCAAGACAGTCAAGACAACCGTCTCTGCGTGACCGACGGCTTAGTTAACCTAACCAGACGTCGCCGCTGTTCGTTGATTCCGACTTGAAAGTATGCGTGGCAAACACACCAAGGCTTGCGCATCTCGAGTCAGAAGTCAGTGGCTGGTCGCTTAGACGTGACTGACGAACGGTATCACAGCATTACTCTTGCAGTGGATGAAACCGTTCACTTCAGAGCTGGAATATCATCGCCTTGTGTTCTCTTTTGGTTTCCTGTTTGCAAACAGAGCCTTTATACCGAAGAGAAACCGCGACACGGCATTTGCGAGGTATAATCATGATGTTGCTCGCTTGTCCTTCCGCGAACAAGACATAAAAGCGGTGGTACAAGCGTAAGAGAGCAGTTCAATCACCCAGCTAGAAACACTGCCTCCTTGTAGATCGCTGAATCAAGCCAGACAGCAAGAAGCTATCAAAGCCTGTCGGTACTGAAGCCATGTCTTGAAATATTTCTCTCCTCGACACTGACCACGTTCTGCTTCTTGCACTTATTCAGACACAAATAATCGACCGATGATGGACAATGGTTATTGGTGATAGATACTCAGTTCGGTCCAGCGGCTTAGGGTGCGACTCATCGACCTGGATTGGCACATATCATCCTATGATAGTTTGAAACGAAGAATGAGTTTTCACTAAAAGTGTAAGGGAATTTGATCCTTGCCCATAACTTGATACATAGATACAACCTCAACATCTAGACCGACTTAGTTCACATCAAGGATGTCATATTCAAGGTGGATGAGAGCATCACCGTGTATTGAAACACACATTTCATTCCGGGCGCTTCATCTATCTCCAAAACATATGCGCAAGTGGTAGGGCTTGCTAAAGATCCAGTCTCTGCCGTGTGCGCCATGACGAACATTAACCCTTCAGCGTCATCCCTCGGTCTCTTCGCCTATGGTGTATTCATCTTTGACAACAGCACGAAACACATCATCGGGGACACACAAATAACCAATAAGTAAATATGAAGAGTTTTTCTAAAGTACCACACGGTTGAGTACCACGCGGACCGATTTCGAATTCAATCCAATCGAGCCCGACAGGCTGCAGCTGAATTCTGCCCAAGAAGATCACTCGCACCCGTCTCGTTGCTCTTCTTATGCGTGCGAAATTCTAGCTGTAGAAGTCCTTTCCCACAGTGGAAAACGATGACGAATTACAGACCGAGGTGCTTCACCGGTCAGGATCTGCCTTCCGCTCGTCCTAGACCATATGAGCCACAGACAAGCAACGATGTGAGGACCAATAGAGATAACGAGAGCAACAGAAAAGACGTCTTCAACAACATAGCCATCATTTTGACCCGTATGCAGCACCGGAAGGGTCAAGGAGACGCAGAATTCAGCGGTAAATTGCCATACCTTTTCGGGCATAAAATCACCTTCGCCGAAAACTGGCTCTGAATGATTCCCATGCCAATCATGATTTCAGGCATCGCGATTGGTACTCGGCCTTCCCTCACGCATCTATTACTTGCCTGAATATGTCTTCTACTTGTGAAGATCATCGTAATCCATCACACTCAACCGAGGCCAACCTAGCGTCCTCTCCGATCACTGCCTGCGTATCCCCAATAACGTCCCAGGAGAAACGGCAAATACCGGGGCCGGGGACAGCTGACGCAAGTCGATATGGCACGATAGCTATGCATTAGGAGCGTAGGCTCGCTCGGTCGTTATGACCTCGCCGCTCGACAAGCTGACCAGGCTGTATTTCCCGCAACTCACCACATCCCACAGGGCGGAATACAAGAGGAATCTTGGAGAAGATTGCGGCGATAGGTGTCGAGCTGGTGGACTTGATAGAAATCAATCCTTCTACGTGGGCTGGGTCATTGCTGCATGAAGTCCAGGGTTTGTCACTTCCGGTGATGTCTGTGATGGCAACTTCCGGGCCTTCAACTGGCAATCAAAGATGGATGAATTTTCTCTGAAGGAAAACAAACATATCGCCTCGGTAAGTTCACAGCAACCCCCTAGAGGGCTGCAAAGCATTCAATATCTCAGGGTGGCGCCCCCTGCTATGCGGATGCAAAGTAACCAACGGACAGACGCTCAAAACTTGACGCCACGGGCTGCCAAACACCCGTCTAGTAAATCTAGCAGACTGCCACTTGGGTATGAGCACTCGAGCAGAATCCCATATGCAAGAAATCACACAAGACAAACACCTGTTCAACATGGCAGATAGCATGTGGTGTGCCGTTTTGCCCCGCCCCCGCGCCGCGCCCCGGAGTCCTGTCTTCGTGGGAAGGGGGGCGGCTTGGCTGGCAGTCCCGTGTCAAGCCAGCGTGAGAACGAGGCCTCAACACCCGCTTAAAAAAAGAAGAGTCCAGACCTGGCCGTGGTTTGGCTGCGGGGTTGACGGGACACTGCAAAAAGACATCCAGGTGATGTTGAGGCTGCGCATTTGTCCACGTGTGCCCGATGTCTGCCTACCATGCGACCCTATCAAGACAACAGCCTGATGGGCTCTCCTGACTGTGTCAACAAATTACAACCCTGCCTGGACTGGCGCTGACGGGGCCACATGGGAATGTTGCTTCTGGTCACGGATAGGCCAGATAGGGAGGCACGTGAAGTGTTGGAATTACGCGTGAGACAGGCTCCGTTTGGAAGAACCGGGACAGACGGGCTGGGAGACCGCCGCTCGGGCTACGGGAGGTTTTGGTGAAGAAGTGTGAGGCACCTTTGGCAGGTTTGGGTAAGGAGGGGGACGTGCTAGACGGCGCCGTTGAGATCCGGAGCCGTGTCTTGGGGCCTTGGCGGTGTCGAGAAATGTTGGAGGTCTCTCGTCTGTGCCACCGCAGTATCTTGGGCAACCGGACGATCTGGAAGCCTTTGCTGCCCACGCTTTTGCAGCGCTCGTGTCTTGTGCGACGGCAACGACGACTGTGCATGAGATTTGAGTTGGATTGGATCTTGCGCGCATGCCCAGAGCTGGACGAAAGTCAGCTGATGGCTGGTCCTGGCAGCGAAGAAACAAACGTTAGGTCCCTTGCATGCGTGCCATCGTCCATCGATGGTTTTACCCCGCAAAACATATCGCTGTAGGGTTGGTTTTGGTATGGCGGGCGACTCAGAGCTTCTCGACTTGCGGAAAAGTTACCACCACCATCCCGGTTCCCACCCGCACTAAGACCAACGCCAGTCGACCTTGCCGGCGTTGTATGACGCAGGGTTGGGGTAGAAATGAGCGAATCACAGCGCAGCGATAAGGCAGTTGTGAGACTCGTGTGAGGGTGGGGGATGGCGTCGCTAGATTCGGGGTGGTGCATGATGACTCTCTGGCGCGCGCACACCTGGCTGAACGTTAGTCGATGACCGTCTGTCTGCGCAAATGTGTACGAAGCAAGCTCGTCCGGTGTCTGAATGCGAGATGCCGGGGCGCGTTTGCTGTTTGATGGGCAACATGGGGCAGCGTCTTGCTCATCTTTGGTACTGGCTGCATGTGAGTATTGACAGGTTACACAGGCAGCGAATGATAATCAGGCTGATCGGGTTATTTCTCGGGCAAGTTCAACAAGCGGTCGGTCACTGGATGATGGCGTTGCACTCGGATAGGAGTGTCTGATGGAAAGCGACATGATCGATGGTGGAAGCTTGCTGGTCTGGGTTGGGTAGGGATGGGCAAGTGATGAACGGGCCAAGATGGCGGGGGAAGGGCGGGCGGGATGAGACAAACAGCCCTGAATATCATTTGCCATGACGGCTGGAGAGAATCCGTGGGCGCAATCCGTGTCCCGACAAGAAGAGAAACGGAGGGCAAACTTCTGCATCCCCCAGGTAGGTATTCCGTATCAGGCACCTGCAGCAAGGTTGAAGTCGTGGGCAAGGGCGATAGGCCGAGTCAAACACGATGCATGTGAAAAGCAACGAGCGATTGAACATGTCACCATGCGAGAGATATGACGGTCGAATCGAAGAGCATCGGCTGTTCGTCTCTTGATTCCTTGTGCTTGGGTTGAGTTTGTTTATGTTGGTTGGGTGAATGCGGTGATGACACGTCTGAAGGTGCTGAAAGCGGGAGAGGCGCCGAGGTGATCGACGAGGCCCGTACGGATAGTGCGGTGATACTGGTTTCCCAACGACCACTGAAGGGTCCTGGGCCAGATGGTAGGGCATGCTCATCGGGCTCAAGGGGACGAACGGAGGGAAGATGGAGGGTTCGGAGTCGAGATAGTTGAGTGGCCAAGAGAACGGATGGAACGGAAGGCGAATGGTAAGCGGCGCTAGAGCCTAGTGCCATGGGAAACTGCAAAGTGCTCTCCGTCGGCCTGCCATTCTCGTCAATGAAAGCCCGCCGCATAGGTCGACAAGGGTTTAAAGAACTGGAGCAACTGAGTCTGGCAGCTCTGCGAGGCAGGCGTCTGAGTGGACGGAGTGGAGGCGACTGTTCATCCTGGGGGTCGGAGGAGGCCGATGGAGGTGGACTTTGCGTGCGTGTTTGCGAGTCACCGAGGGCAGGCCCCCGGACAAGGACCGGAGGTTCAATAGCCGTCCGGTGATTGACATGGGAACTTGGCCGCCGTCGGGAGATAGATTGGCGGCGATGATGGTTGCTGGTGGAGGCCCAGACACAGCGCTTGGCCGCAGGCGGGCGGCTTGACGGTTCGACGATAGTTCGAGTTGTGGTGATGGTGGTTGTCTTAGATTCTGCGGCCGTTCGCCTCGGCATCTTGAACTGACTGTCGGGATGGGCTAGAGTCAGGTCCAGAGCAGCGGAAGGAGTCAGGACCCTAGGCCGTGCTGAAGAAGTGGTCATCATTTTCAGCCCGAGGGCGCCGAGGCGATCCAGAGTTCATTGAACAGTGCGTGCGTGCCTGTTGCTCTGTCACACCCAGAGGGTCGGACGGATCTTGTGGTGGTCTCTTAGTAGAGATGGAGGGTCACGGAGGCGATCGGTAAAACGTGTAATTGGGCGTTGCGCTTGGGGGATGGAGGGGATGGGATGAAGTGGGAGGGATGGAGTCGTTGGGGGCTGATAAGCAAGAGGCACACGAGAGGCGGTCCGACGTTGGCGACGATGGGAAGGTCCAAGGAAGGCACCACTGGCACCAAGTCAAGGTCGTGGCTGCATGTTGTTGTATTACGCATAAAATGAGCGACGCATTACATTGCCAGGGACAGCGTCCCACTGCATAGCATAGCATAGCCATTTGGCAGTTGTGCAAGAGCCATGCTCATGGACTGTGCTGTGCTTAATAATGCTATCCAGATAACTGGGGAGAGCTGTGTCTTACATAAGGTGGTTTATTCCAGGTTTATCCCCAGGGTGGGTCTTACGGCTTGCCATTGGCTGAGAAGCTCAGGTACCTCAGGCTTCAGCTGGTCGCTCTTTCTTTCTCTCAGAGGCCTCTCCCCGTCCTTTGAGCGCTCCAGGGCTGGGCGCTGATCGGGTCAGCCGGGCGCTCACACGGTGAGACCCTGCTGGAAGGCCCCGAATGTCTTGGAATTCCCACTATTATGACGGTCTTCACCACTGCCACAGGACCATCAGCAGCGTCAGGGCCAATCAAGGCCGCAGATCCAGTATCAGTGTGTCGCCGTCTTTAGCACACGGTGCTGGCCATCCGTCATCCGGGCCCTGAAGCCCTGTAATTGTGACACTGGCGGCGCTGTCATGGTCCGCAATAGGGGTGTCGATGTGAGAGCTGAAAGAGCGCTCGTATTATGTATCCTTCCAGAAGTGATCCAGGCTGGCTGGTGCTGGTCTCGAGGTGAGATCCACCGGTGGCATGAACGTGACCACATTCATGGACTGGACGGGAGGAGGCGTGGAGTGTGGACTTGGAGACCCCCAAGGACCCCCAACTCAACTCATGTCACCCCAAACTCTAAGGCCCAGACAGGAGGAGAGACGCAGAGACGACGACGATTGGGGGAAGTTGGAGGCTTCGGGTGCTTATCAGTTGGGGCCTGTGCGCCCATCCATCGCGCTTTCCTTTGGAGTCGAGGAAAACGCCTCCAAATCAGGCAGGACGCACACGGAGGGCAAGCACACAGTCACCGTTGCCTGCCAGGGCAATACGCAGTAAGGAAGCAAGCAGGCACGGAGGGTGAAAGCATGAGCGAGGCAGGAAGGATGAAGGGGAAAGGAAGGAGGCAGGAAGAGGCGCCAGTCCCTGCCTTGCCCTGCCCAGCCTGTCTACCGCAGCAACCGCACAACGTCACGGGCAACCACGATCCAAGCAAATCAAGGCAGGGCAGGTCCAGCTGAGGTTCTGAAAAGGGCAGTGGAGGGCAGTGGAGGGCAGCATCACGTCCCGTTGTCTACCATCCAGCGCCTGTCGTCTGCGTCCCCGTGTCTTGCTGCTGCAAAGTCCCTAGTCATGATCCATGGCCGTGGCCCCTTCCCAGCCTGTCCTTCCCCAGGTTCCTTATCAGCAACTCCATCCTGGGCCCGTTATCAGTGTCAACGTGTGAGGTGCCTGCCCGTGCTGTGCCAGTTCGGTCACTGAGGTGGTGTGTGTTGTATGGAACTCGGCCCAGTAACAGAAGGCGAGAGGTGTCATGCTGGGCTGGATTAAGGTGCAGATAATCAGGACAGCAGAAACAGCCTCGGGTTGCCTTCCGCTCCTACGGATAGTCACTTATCTCTCTGCCCAAAGCCAGATCTATAACCTGGAAGGAGCGAATGCCCTCTGGCCTGCCACCTAAAACCAAGAGTCCCCCAACCTACCTGTGGTCTCTTCTCTGCTAGTCTTCATTCTCGGTGTCTCTATTCTTCTTTTCTCCCTTATCGCCGCCTCGTGCATCGTCGTCATCGTCGCCGCCTCACCTACCGAACGAACCTCGACCTCGACTTCGCCTCTCGGGACGTGCGCCGACTGCTCTGCTCAATACCTCGCCGATACATCCTCAATACCAGACAGACACCAGGCCTCCCGACCGAATATCGATTATTCGTACCTAATACTAATACCCATCATCGTCATCGCGAGTCTCGAATTCACCCTCGTGACGGATTTCCATCTTCGATATCCAAGGCCTATCAGTCGTCAACCTACAACCTCCAACTCGAATCCAGGTCCTTCCCGGCGCTCATCGCATTCCGCTATCAGCAGCCACCCTCCTCTGTCAACCTCTGACGACGACCCGAGTCGTGCGCTTGCTGGCCTCCACAACTTTACGCAAACCGCACCCGCACCGACATTACCACACGCGAACCCACCCGATCCAACATTCACGGTCAAGCAATCTGCACTTCACTCGCAACCGCGCTCTGCACTCTGCAAGGGCGGCAGCACATTCCATCGTCCCGCCCGTTCCTTGCTACGAAATCGCGCGAGATTGGAGAATAAGGGTGCAGCTCCAGCAAAAGCCGGGCCCCAGCGACCCAGATCCCACCCAGAACCACCGCAACCAAGGATACGACGAATACAAGACGTTGAAGAAAAAAGACCCGCTGCGTCACTTCCCGTCAATCACCGTCCTCAAAGGACCCGTCGCGATTCCTGTTCGAGCTTCTCCTTGAAAAGCATCGTCGCTGATTTGTTACCGCGCCGTTGACTTTACGTTACCAAAACATTGGCCACCCCTGCCCCCGGCACACGACACAGCGCATCTCCCAGTCCCAGAAAGGCAGAAGAGCAGAAGGGGTTACAGAAGTCAGAGACGACAGACGAGCACGTCCGTCCGCACCGCACGCCCACACACCCCCCCAGCAGCAAGCACCACCTCAGAGATCCCAAGTGCCAGCCCAAGGGACAAACTGTACAACTGCCCGAACTGGTCCCCTAATTGCGCGTGCCCTTTGCAGACTGCAACAGCCCGCCACGCCTTGCACGCCTCCACTGGTCGGCCCAAACCCTTCAGAGTCACAGTCGAATCCCCTAGCTTGAGCGCCGCCTCCTCCGCCGTCTGCTCGCCAATCCGTACCAGTTTCCAGCGCCTCCGAACCCCCATCCATCCTGGTTCCAGTCGTGCCCTGCCCTGTCCTGCAGAGGTACCTCACCGTCTCTGCCTGACCTCAGGGAGCCACAAAGTACCACCACCCGAGGGAGTGTGTGCGTGCCTGGTCTGGTCCCTTTCCCACCCCTTCCCTGTCAACCTGTCTTGCCTGTCGGGTCCGGCCTGCCCCGCCGAGCCACTGGCGCACCAGGGCCCAGGGAATGTCCAGACGCCATGATGTCCCCAAGGAGTTTCCTTTACTACAATAGGCATCCCTCGGCCTCTTCCACACCACCAGTCGCTTCTCCCTCTCCTCTGCTTCCCACGCGCAAACCGAACACCGACAAACTCGCTGCTAGTACGACTTCGACTTCGACGACAACTCCCCCCGTCAACACCCCCAGAACGGCGCTGCCTTCTGCCTTGCTGGATCGGAAAAAGGATGCTCAGACCGTCTCTGTCACCGTCACGCCTATCCCTGCTTCTCCCACTACCACCGCAGCTACCATGGCCAAAAGGAAGGATGCTCGCCGCGAAACGTCTAAGTTGGCGCCGTCGAGCCCTCCCAGGACAACCACGAGCGTAACGACCCGGCCAACAACACCCACCGGCCCAGTTCAGATTCCCTCAAAATCAAAATCCAGCTTGTTTTACGGCTCCCGCCACGTTACGAGGAAATCGTTCCGCCCTAGAGATGTGCACTCTCCGGATGCCGTCCCTCCCGCCATGCTGGCCCTCTTGGCCGTCACTGATATCCCCAGACAGAGACGCGGCTCCAAGCAAAAGCTTGCTCGGGACCAGCCCATGACTCTGGAGGCTGTCATTGAGAGGCAGCAGGTCTGTGAGAAGGAGCTCAGTCTCACTTTTGGCAAGAGCCCCATGGACTTGCTTCTCTCCCCACCCGATGATCTGGAGGACGACGATCTCTCCATTAGCGATAGCGGACTCGGTTCAGTCCTGTCAACACGAACGGTTTCTGTCGAGTCCATGCCCTCTCTCGGGGACTCGTTCTCCACCGACACGCTGTCCTCACTTGAGTCACCTTATGGATCAAGTCCTCGCAGGAAGCGATCGCGACAGCCTCGGAGATCTTTGGAGCCTATTTCCTCTCCTCCCGGTCAGCCAGAGGACCACCCACTGTCCCGCGACCGAGTCTCCGTGGATGAGCTCGACTTTAGAGTTTTCGACGAATCGCAAGATGAGGAAGATGTCAAGTCGGAGTTCTCATTTTCAGACTACACCTTCCCCTTGCGTCCTCTGAAGTCGGCTTTCAAGTCCAATTTGACTGCGTCCCTCCGCGCTCTCCGTTCGGCGGCCCGATCTATTTCCAACATCAACTTTTCGTCAATTCCGCCAGACGACTTTCTCACCCGGTCCATTCTTACCATAGACCCTAAGGTGCCGTACACGGATGAACGACGACCGCCCGTGCTGGAGGAGGAGCCGTCGGCGGCCCTCCGCCGGTATCTGAACCCCACGACCAATGCACGCATAGAGCCCCACCCAGCAACGGCTGCCGCTGCGCCTGCGGGAACGCGAAGCTTTACTGCCTCGATCCAGATGCAGACCTACAAGGTTCAGCGAAGCCGGAGTGCACCTCCTCCATCCAGCCGGGGCCCCTCTCCGACGACATCGGCAGGCACGACTCAGTCAACGCCTTATCAGCCCCCCTCACAATCTCCGAACCAGACTGCCTTTTCTTACCCGCCTGGAGCGATGCGTCAGCGCGAGATGCGTGAGAACTCGGATTTCATCCGCATCGCTGTCATGGAAATGGCGATGCGCAAACAGGGCAAGCTTGACGACCAGCGCCCAGGCCGTGCCCGCTGGGCGTTGCCGCCGCGGAAGGCGAGCGTGCGGGCCTACGAGGTTGGCGCCGACGGCGTCCCAGCTCGATGGATTCCCGTGTCGCAATAAGCGTTGCACGAACACATGATCTCCAGCATCACGCGAGCCGACGATGAAGCGCACCGAAGATGCAGGAACCCCCCCACGACCGGACGCCGCCCGACGGTGCGCCGCCGGCCACGCACCCAGCACCGATGCCGCAATGTGCAACAACACCAGGCACCGAGCACGTCAGCAGTCGGATCCCAGTCCGAATGACTTCACCCGCGGCAAGCTTGTGTTTTGCCGTGGATTTCCCACCCGCGTGCGACACTACGACGGTGCTTGTCCGCGGACAAAGCGAAAACAAGAGGGTCGGGGGGCATTCCTGGCACGTTGTGTGCGCTGCCCTGATTGCACCGTGTCTCTCGGGTGGAATCGTCATTCAACAGGCCCCAAGACGCTAATTTACGGGGAAGCGTTGGGCCCGCATTCATCAGACAGGGGGCCGACGTTAAGTGCCTGCCTTATCCGATATCGCGGAATGGTCAGCATCATCGCGCGTCTGGCTCCCTGCAATAGGGTTCCGTTTTCTACCTAAACCGTCAACTACGCCGTCTGGGGCACCGAGGACGGCATCCATTTTTCTTCGCTTCTAGAAGCAGTCGATCTGCGGGTCTTCTCATGCCGTTACCTTACTGTTTGGTAATAGCGAGGGACCTTTTGCTAGTCGTCCGTCTACCGCCTGCCGCCTACGGCCAGGGACTTTTTGCGTGGCCTCTTGGCCGCCGGCACGACTATTGCGAAATGAGCTGTTTGTTAGCGGGTCATCACCACCTGCTGCATTTGTCGATTTTTCTAGAACCGAAGATCACCGACTGGAAGCGAGGCGCGAGCAGGAGAATTGTTCGGTCGGTCGGATGTTCGCACATTCGAATTATTTGAAACAGGGGGCGGAGCAATCTGCGAAAATGAGAGACGCAAGATGCGTTGTCAACAATTACCAAGGAAAAGCAATGATCGGAGCAAAGGGTTACGACAACAGAGAGGTGGACACACGTCCGACACACACATTGCACACACGACAACGTGCACACACACGCATACACAACACACAACGTCTTTTTTGAGCCCGGTCCCGAGCGCATGGCCTGATGACAGCGACACGCGACAAGGAATCATTTCGCAGCGTGGGATGCGCATAGCCAAGACTGCGTCGTGGGGTCGCATCTCACCTTGGAACGCATCCAAGGTTGCGGATGCTGCTGCCACCGAGGGAAACGGGCCACTCACAGCGCTTTTGATTCGCATTTGGTTCGACAGCATATGCATAGCGATGGATTGGGGACACGAGCATTTGAGGCGCATCGCATGCATACCAATTTTTTTCTGTGTTTTTTCTCTTCTCATTCTACACTCAACTCTCTTTCGTTTGCTGAGCGACGACGACTCACTCACACGCCTTTACCGCCTTCGACAGCGCTGGCAAAACACCCACGCGGCACGAACTCGGGTGTCTGCGGGGGGGTCAAGCCCGACCCCTCTTGGTGTTGTTCCCCACGCGAACAGCCCACGTCTTGGCACCAAAAAATTGACTCTGGCCTTGCATGTGAATGCAGGTTGAGTGACTGGCGCCCAAGTGATCGAATGGGGGGCCGCGACGTGAGTCAGGGAAGGACCTCGCACAACAAGGAGGAGGGGAGTTGGGAAAACTTTTCTTATCTCTGCATACAATGATGCAAGAGAAATGCGACGACATGAGAGCCGGAGTTTTGTTTAGGAAGGTACAGCCGCGAGGCTTTTGGTGTATTACGGCGCAGTGGCATTAGCAAGGAGCAAGATCAAGAGCATGGGAATTAGGCAATGCGGCATCAGAATTCGCATGGGAGCAAAGGATGCGCTACAGACGCACAAGATGATTTAGTTGCAGAACAATCTCAATCACATATTGTACACAAATCCTTACGGGCATTCCATGGTTGTCGATGACAGGAACTGACTGATTGGTGGCAGGACCTGACTTATCCTTGCAGGGCATGGCCCAGGAACACGTTGCTCGGACTGGGCCGGGAAGCATGCAGGGAGGCCTAACCCAACCTCTGACTACGAATACAGGAACACGGCCTGCAGATTCAAAAGTGCACCGCTACTTTGGCACGCGCAGGTGATTGCGGTCGAAAACCGAGATAAGGGGGCCGGTCGTCGACTGGCGGTCACGCGTTGACGGGGTCGATTTCTTTCGGAGCAATCTCACCGCCATCCAAATGCGGCCAAGCCGACGAGGACGTGGTTCAGGCTGGCTCGTTCGCTGAGCCTCTCGGCGGCCCGAAAAGAGGTCGGACGTGTCGGACAGTGCCTGGCTGTTTTATTTAGTGGGCGCAGCGGCGGCGACGGCGGCTCGCCCGCGCATTACCGACGTTCGATTTCAGCTTGACAGATTCCGAGACACGCGAATATCGACCGAGCGAGACGACCGACAGACGGGTTTAGGTCCTGCGTAGGCGAGCAATTCCCACTTTCGCCCTCTTGCCGAGAGGCACGATTCCCACTCTTGTTTGCGCTCGGAGAGCCGCCACCTCGGCAGTTGAGAGCACCGACCTTGCCCAATTCAACTCGAGCGGCCGGTTTGTTCCCACCCTTTGCGGCCTCGGCTGTGCGGAAATCAACCGGAAATCGTGGCAAGGCTCCAGAAATTCATTTTGGTGTTGTGCACAAAAATGTGTTCTCTCTCCTCCCCCTCAGTTCTATTGCCACCTCCTTGCAGATTGTATTAACAACGATACTACCGAATCGTCGGGGTATCCGCTTTCTCGGGACGTCGCGGTGCGGTTATTGCGATCGTGCGCCCGTCTGCACATGGCCTGTGGCGAAAAAAAAGGACGGTCAGACATGTGGGAAGGGTGTTTTCTCCGCTGTAATAATTCGAGCGGCGGAATTTTGATTGTGTAATTTAGGTCAGGGTTCACAGTTCACAGCTCAGGTACACTATCCTTTTTCTGTACTGCAGGGTTGGAATTTGTGCGCGCTATTTTCATTTAGGGGTCCAATGCCAATGGTTCAGTTTGTTGTGCGGTTCCATCTTTGGTGATTTGTTGTTTAGGGGTCCTGCCTGCGCGCGTTTGAGGGGAGGATCCTTGTTCGCTGGGGGCTGGGCTGGGAAGGGTTTTTTTTTTTGCAGCAGTGGTGGTGAGGCTAGGGAAGATTGCGGTGAACCCGGGGTCTTCTTGTCTCCGCCTTAGGGCGGATGGATCCATGTGAGACAGCAGTGAGAGGGCAGAGGTTTGGGGGCTATGAACTCGGGGCGTGCGATTATGATGATGGGATTGTGGGTTTTGTATCCGTAGACGAGATGGGGATTTTGGGTAGGATGGTATGGAAAAGAGGTGGTTTGGAGTCTAGACGGTTTCTAGAAGGTGTTTTGGGATGGGGAGTTTTGTCTTGTTTTAGAAGGTGGTGAGTTTTTTACCCTCTCCCAAGACCGGGGCAAGATGGTTTTTGGGAAGGAGGGAAGATTTTGAGATTGGGGATAGGCTGTTTTGCTGAGGCCGAGGTTTTCGAATGGGATTTCCCCCTTTCGAGGGTATTTCTATGCTTCTGTGGTGGGTGAGTGATATTGGCAACGGGACGGACCGTTTGACTGCTTTTACGTGGTTTTACGGTGATGCAAGTGAGATGTTGGCTGTATGACTTGTCGAAGTTGTATCCCATCTGGAGCTGCGGGCGTTCTTCTGAGGGTTGTACCTCCAGTACGGGCTTATGAGGTAGTTTTCGCTGAATTATGTCCAAAGTGATTGGTCTACCGTACAAGGGGATGTGAAAAGAGAGTTTTGGGGAGCATTAGGGGCCGTTGAGTGGTGTAAGGATGCTAGTCAGATTCCTTGCTGGATGGACGGATGGCTTGGTGTTCTTCTGCCTGTCGGTCTGTTCTGGTGGTGGCGATGTGGAGATGTGGCGGGCGGGATGTTACGGTGAGTTGCGTGCGTCTGGGGATGAGATAAGGTGTGTGAGGTTGAGGTGAGGGAGGGGAAGATGGTGTGATGGCTGTGGGAGGGTTAGGTGAGTGAGGATGACGTTGCTTGTGAGTGTGTGTGAGTGGCTTGATGGCGTGAGGTTGCGAAGGATGGCGTTTGATGGCGACATTTGGGTTGGGGATTGGTGTATAAGAAGGCGTGTCTGCTTCGAATTTGGAGAAGGGCTGGTCTTGTATTCCTGGGTGAGTTTGGCAGGAGTGTGATGAGGGCTATCGACATGAGGCTTTTGGGGCCGGAGAAAGAGGAGGTATGTCGAGGGGACTGGCTAGATCGATACATATCGACGACCATTACATCCGAAGACGCCCGACTTACATCGACAGACCGAGTCAAGTGACCGACTGACGGGAGAGGCTCGACTCGATGGACACATGGACTGCGCTGAGCCCGGAGGACGGTCGACGTCAAGCCAGCGAGGCCAAGACGACGGTGGAGGCGACCACTGTGTCGAAGAAGAGATAAAAGAGAGGACGGGACTCCTTGGTTTCTGACGCCGACAACGATGTGCCGGGCTGATCTGGGAAATATTACCTGGAAGCATTCTCGCTGTATACATGGTAAACCAAGGGCCATCTACATCAATACTCCAGGTTGTGGCGAGATTGTCGTCTTCATTAGCAGTTCCTCCAACAACTGTGGTGTATTCGACGTGATCAATCAAGGAGGACGGATGTTGGACGGAGCGGCGCCGGTGTGGGCCTCGGCGCGGAGGTGATCTGCCTCAGTGACGGGTAGGCCTTTGCCATGCGTTCGCCCGCGACTTCACGTGTTCCCAAACCTGTCTGCAAGGCAAAGAGGGCACTGCAACAGATACATTGAGGTATGGCGAATTTGCTTGACGGGGTTTGACTGCGCATCCATTTGTCCTGCTTTATAAGGGGATCAGCAAGCACAAGCATGGCAGTAGAAGTCTGAGTTCGGAGCATGCGCCAAGAGGCGTATGTATAAAAAGGGACCCCGATGTGCCCAATGGCAGGGGTGTAGTTATTGTTGTGATGAAGTCTGCATTGCTAAAGTACGTGTGGCACGGGAGACCTCTTGATTATCCCGAGTTAACTA